TTACAACGCTTAACACGTTCACTACTGCAGTTCAGAACTTGTAACACGATATATTTTTCTCTGTGTGTACTTGCATGTGGTATATATATATATGCCGAAAGTCTAAGATCGGTGAAACGTGACTGTAATCCGGAGACGTACGATTTTTGTATCGAACCAATCACGGTATTTCACCTGTCGAAATAAAGAAAAGAATCACCTGCAGGCGCTTTATGTCACTTTTGTACATGTATGCAAAAATAAATATGACGCATTTTGACGACAGTCGGCGTTATTCGTAGCGAGAGCAGTTGGATTTATTAAGATACAGCTGGAAGATAGGTTGGCTGTTTCTTCTTTTGAAATTGAAATGCCTATTGGATTGTGGGAGTTACTGGTTGTTAAATAATTAATAATCCTTATTTTAAACTATAAACTTTTTATTGGACACAAGGAAGGTTGGCTTTTCTACTTGATGGTAAGAGCACTGTCTACGGACTGAGAATGCTCCTATGCAACACCCTAATATTGCCTACGACCCCGCTTGGGACCGAAGGGCCTTTTGTCACGTATCATAAACATTTAGATCTTTACTAAACAGAGGTGGTATACAAAAGTAATATATACTTCCTAGTAAGGCGTTAGATTCATTTTTGTTATATCTAACTGACTGATAAATCTAAGAATGCCAAAGATGAAATGAAATTTTAAAGAATGCACAAAGTAGATGTGACGTTATCGCAGCAAACTTAAACAACTTTAGCCCATGAAAGACGAAAAAGAGGGGAATAATCGACATCTAAAATTCAATACAATAGCATATTTTTAATCTTTCGATATTCTCGTTACCCTGGTTCATACTGTAGCTACATTCGTAGTAATCGAGAATCTTTTTGGGTTGCTCGATTCGGATAAGTAGAATGGCTGGGATCGTGTCAGCCAGTAGGACACTTTCTTTTTAGAGGACCGTACTAAATAATTTATAATTCAGTCAATTTTGACAATTTTCGTTTAAAAAAAATTGTGAATGTTCTTGAAACATGAATAAACATGCGTGCAAAAAATCGATACTAGAAAGTCTTACGGTTTCTTTGTAAAAAAAAATCGCAAGGAAGACAGCTATCTGAGCTCTAAAGCTCGGAAGATTGCGCAGAGATTGAACGGCCCATTTTTTATCATTCTATACCACAACAGTATTACGACTTTTCTAAATTTTGTGCTACATAATACACCATTAGCCAGTGATTTCTATAAAAAGTGCATTTGAAAAATCTCGTAGTGCATCGCGATATTTAAATGGCAACGTAGATGTTCCAGTAATTTCTACGACCCGCTTGTTAATAGATCAGAGCGAGAAACAATTAGTTTGTTTTACATAAGACACTTCGTGATGTAATAGAACGTGGCCATATGGAGTCTCGTGTGAAACAAGCTTCGTGAGATTAGTTCAAGAAAATACATATAGATGACTAATGCGACACTTTAAGGGATTATTCTAATCTAGACTTTTCAAAAATTCTATTTATTTTTTTTTTTTTTTTGCATCTTCTGAAAGTTTACGTTTCATAGCCTAATTTCCACCCTGAAATGCGATAACTTTCTTCCGAAGCATTCTTTTCGTATCTGTACGAATAACAAAAAAATTATACAATCTCCGATTATAAAAAAAAATTAATTAAGGGTGGCAGAATTAGGTGGAACATCCTGTGTATAGTAAAACAGAAGAGGAACGGAATTTTTCAAATCAGTCAAAGAGTAAGGAGATAACTAAGTCAGTGATAAATCCCTTGAAACGTTCCTCTTAATTTCCTTGGATTAATTTCTCTCCTATTGTGTCGAGATGGAGCTTGAACTTTATCTGGTTATACAGGTAAAGGATTCAACGAATTAGTCGATTTAAATTGTTCAGTTGTTAACCTGTATGGTAATGATGTAATTGCGTGATATTGAAGGTGTTGCTTATATTGTTTGTACTGCATACGAGTATTTTTCTTTTATTCAGGTTTTTTGTTCGATGGAAATTGTTGCGTTAAAATGTTTCATTCGTTGACGTCGTTTTACACAAATTTTACAAGATTCATCGTGTTAATATTCTTGTATTCCTGATATTTTTCGCTCATTCGCCAAATGCATTTTGTTCGATTTTATCAAACTGATTTTATCTTACGTTTGACAATGATTTATTACATTTAATAGCAGCGAAATTCAGGTGAACGAATGAAACGTTTAAAATTCGTTGAGAAATTCATTGATTATACGTACACAACGAACGATTCAATTTAACACTGTACACGTGTAATTTTGCAACAAACGTGTTCGATGTAAATAAATTTGTAAAGGAGGAGAGTGAGTGTAAGATATGATAAGATAAGTGCAATTTTTTGCTGTGAAACGGAATAAACGATAAATAAAATAAATTTGTTTTATGGCGAAATGTTAGATGGAGATCAAGTGATAAAGAGAGAACAAGGGAGAATATGGTGGGAAGAGAGATGGATTTGGTCCTGGGTGTCCTGGTGGACTCGTCAGCAAGGCTACCTAAGAGTGGTCTTAGACCTTAGCGGAGAACGGTTAGGCTTTTCTTTTTCATTTTTCGCTTGTGTGGTCTTTTTCGCAGTTCTCAAGGCTGTAGCCTTTAAAATTGCACGTCATATGAGGGGTGGGGTTGGTGAGACTGGCAGGGGTTAGGATTTGCTTTTAGTTCTCTTGAATCAGGTAGGGAAAAACATTGAAAAAATCTCCATGGACGCGTCTAAACTTAACCCATTTCGTGGAAATTTTTAATTTTATCGGTTTTTTGGTTCATTTTTTAGATTTTTTCCTTTTCAATAGCCCCAGCTAAGTTTTATATTTACACGAGTTCTCTTTATTTTCTCTTCTCTATCAAAGGATGAATACTTCAAAGAGGTGTATTGAAATATCAGTGAAATACTTTTCGCATTATTTATACAGAGGATATGCAAATACTGGAGCACACGTAAAGAATAGCTCACCTTGGGAAAATTTACTTTTACGTCAGATAGAAAATGTAACGAAAAGTTTGTTTAATAACTATGAAATGAAGATTAGAGAACACGTTTGATGTTTCGTACAGCCACTGAAAAATTGTAGATTTTTATCCTTTGAGCTGTAATAGTCGTACCTTGCTCGTATTGCAAGTGTCTATAACCAAGCCATAATAAACAATTAGTTTCTCGATCATTTTTCCAGTTAGCTTTCCTCTACCACCCGAGCCCTTTGTTTTTCTTTTTGCTCTCAGGCAATCGATTTCCTGCTCTTCTTTAAACATGACCGATGCATTCTTTTTTTTTATAATAGTAGTGTCGCCATAATGAGCACAATTAAAAATACCGAAACAAGCTTTAGAATCTCCATCTTCGACACATATTTCACTGTTCATTTTAAACTCGTACAGCTCCATTCATTTTAATCGGATTAACTCGAAACTTTCACTCACTCGAGGAAAATGTCGAAAATTTTGATGATGGTTCTTGCGAATTTTATTTTAGATTGCAAGTAGCCAGATAAGTCATTTATGTAGCGCGAAGCCTGGGTAGTTAACTATATTGGCCTAATTCATTTAAGTATTGCAAATTGTTACGAGATCGAGGTAGTTATTTCTTTCCTGTGGAAGATGATTGCTTTTGCTAGGATTGATCTGGAATTACCAGGCATTGAAGTAGGTTCGCGAGCAGTAGAATGTGCTCTTAGAGGTAAGGCTGGTTGTTCTATTTTCCACGAGAATGTCGAGTGCTGATCGAGAGTCCGAATGGTCGTGTTTGTTGTATATTGGGCCTAGAATTGATCCTTAGGGGATTCCCGCGGTAATAAGTTTTGGGACTGAGTTTCTTCCCTTAACCGAGACTGAGATATTTTTCTCTGGATCATTTTTTGGAAGTGAAGTATTGTGCCAATACTTCGATCGAAGCTTTCGAAGGAGATGAAGGGTTTTCTTCAGGTCGAACAAAACCTATTCTGGGATTCCATTTTTTGTCTCTGAGTGTATTTCACACGAGTTTTTAATATAGGTTACCACTTTTTTTCCAACTCTGTTCCTGTCTTTGATTAGTTAGCAGGGAAAAGAGTCTGTGAAACGACGGCGTGTGGTATGCTGCGACCAATTATTGCTTTTTTACAGGCTGCGACGATGTGATTTTCAAATCGTTCAATTTCCTATTCTATTTCATTTTTCGTCCTATTGGGTGCACAGATTTTTCTATGCTCTCCAATCAGTTACTCTTTTTTTAGGTGAATGAAGTTAGCTGACCTGGAAGATGATTCGACGACAAGTTGTCTGTGCTTATGTATTTGTGTGGTATATACATATAGCAGGAATTTCTGTTGGTTTCTCGATACATGTACACATGTAACTGTGGATTATTTTGTACTTGTTATTTTCAATACGATCTTCGAAAAGGCAGCAGTTTCTCTTGTTTCTTACGTTGTTATCAAGAATTGTACGAAGATTTCTCTTAGGCTGCGTTGTCTGGAACTTGCTTGATTATTTTGGAATTAGGAGGAGCATAAAAGGCTCCGATGGTTATATACCAGAGGTGGTTTTAAGTTGGATGAGAACAACTTCTATTTCTTGAATAGGAGGTTGGGCAATGTACTTGTATTTCAGTGCTTTGTGGATAAGTATGGTTACTCTACCGCCGGATGAGAAGGTTGTGTCAGCTCTGGCTATATTGTATTTAGGGAGTTATACGCGTTTACTTGGCTTTAGCCAGATTTCCGAGAGAGAGAGAAGCGTTATGCAAACGTCGTGTTGGTTCAGCTATTGTGGAAATTCTTCAAGCTTTGTTTTTATGCTTCTAGGGTTCCAGAAAATTGTTGTCTCGGGAAGGTATCAATCCTGTTCTTCGACGATCTTGATTACACCCTCGACTTTTTTCATTATCGTGAAGTACAGAAGGGATGGTGATCTTGAAGCGAGGAGAGATAGAGAGCAATAATAGCGTAAATTGTTGCGTCGTATAGTTTTACGCGAGTTGAATTTTTCTCTGTTTTCTGCATTGCAGGCGGTGTCGGAGAGGCTCGAGTTGGCACCCGCTGGAGGAAGATCAGAGCCGCAAGTGAGTACCACTCGAAAATGCACGCTTCCTTTTCCTTACGAATGCCATTCAGACCTCGTACACTACGATTTTACATCGCGATGAAAATTCACCAGCCGCACCACACCGTATTAGACGTCTCGAGTCCGTTTCATTCGAAACTCACCTCTGTTCTATTTATATGGAATAATTTGCCAAATCGTCCGGCAATTTCGCCGGGAAAATACGTAAAATATTCGAACTTTCTCCGGAAGAAGATATTTCATTTTCGACAATTTGTCGCGGTAAAGATTTGTCCATCTCAGAAGTTTAGATGATAGGTTTGAGAAATCTGGCGGTTCAGTTTGAAGATTTATTGTATCGAAGTGTGTCATCGTGCTGAATTTTCGTTTATCTCGCGATTCGGCTGAAAGTAAAACAGAAAATGACTGTTTTCGTGAACGGTTTGCAAAGGTTGCCATATTATGCGAAGCCGGAGAGGTTTATCTCGCACAGCACATGGGCGAACAAGGTCGTTGGGTCTCCTCGGCAGACAAGAAGAGCTGCATGAGGGACAAACTGGAGATTCTCGAATTCTGCAAGAAGGTAAGTTTTTGAAAATCCGAACTTTTTTCCAACTATGTTGCTATTCAGATTTATTTCTGGATACCTAAGCAAATTATACAATCCGCGACACACCTTTCCTTTCTGAATTCTTCCAACTTTTTTACCTTTTCTTTCCATCACGCGACATTCGTATCGTTTAATATTTTCAGATACTCACTTTTCATTTGTAATCTTTACATTTCGATGCCTTTTTTCACTATTATTAGTACAGAGTTTTTCGTTTCTTTAAACTTTAATTTTCTTCGTTTTTCTCCTCCCTGCTTCCCAGATTTCCAACAAAAATTCCAAAAGTCTAGCAACAAGAAACAGCTACTGTATTTATAACGGAGCGTTCAGTTCATAAATCTATCGATTAAACTGGAGAACGGCTGCATGCATATCGCGGTACGTAACAACTTAACAGAATTTTCTACGTCAGAGAGAAAAGGCTCGCGTTATTAATTCGTGAAGATAGACGTGACGGTGTTGTTTCCACAGCCGCGAAGCAACCGTTGTCCAGTGAAATGTACGATAGTTTTGCGATACGTACTAATTTTTTACAGTCAAAAATAACGAGAAGAGATAAACCTAAAAAAGAATAACGAGCGGGGAGGGAAAGATTGAAATTATTAAAGCGATCAAGGAGGTAGCGCCGATCGAGGATCGGGGCTCACGGTGAAATCGCAGCTAATCTCAGCTAATCTGTGCTTGTATTTTTAGGCATATCCAAAGAGAGACATTACGAACATCGTAGAATCGTCGCACTACGTGAGGGTTAATGGATGGTGCAAACCTGGCCGAACCAAGTGTAAATTATCGCGTTGGGTCAAACCGTACAGATGTCTCGGTACGTATTCTGTACAGTGAAAATATTTTGCATAAATGAAAAAATTCTAGTCGACGTTACTATTTCAATTCTAAAATTACTAAAATAATTTCATATTTACGTTGACCTTATGAATATTTAAAAGACCAGCGTGTACAAATTTATTATTTGTTTGTGCAACTGATCAATGTACCATCAAATGGTAACCGAATTAAGGAGCGAAGAAATTGTTTAGACAAAGTGCAGCAGTATTTGAGTATTTCGTTCGGTTCAGATTTTCACAGCTTGAATATATGGCTAAAAACACCGGTGCTGAACATGTTAAAGTGAAAGCGTGGAATTAACGAGTATGCTTGCTAATTTCATTGGGAAAACTGTATGCGCGTACTGGATCAATAAATGCACACGTGCACAGACGCATATACATATGCAGAGTAGACCATCGTATAACGCAAGGAATAACACGTACAATAACGTAGTTAAACAATAACATAACAAACGTGAATAACAAAATGACCTTAAAATTTCAAATCAAGTATGAAACTTCCTTTTATTTTTCACCGTTTCTACCACCGAACGAATTTCTCCTCCATCTTATTCACCCCTTTGAAACCGTTTAAATTACGTATAAAAATCTCCTAGTACCGGCGTAATTAGAGACGGTAATTAGGTGGCCTGTATGAAAAAAATGTCAAAGTCCAAGCGAACTTCTCGAGTAAATGACGTGGACTTGGAAAACTGCTAACTTTTCCTCCAAATTACTAGAAACAGTGTCATTCACTTTCTTTGCAATGAATACACCGTTACCAAGGACTAGCCCTGCATTGATGCATATGTACGTGTTGCCTGTGCAAAGCAGACAGACAGGCAGGCAGCCAGTCAGCACGCGTTCGAATCGTTTTTTTTCTCCTTTACAATTCAGACGAGAACGAATTTCCTTTTTTCCAGAGGGGCCTTTCCAAAGCGACGCGTTGCTCGTGCCGGAAGGATGCCTGTTCGATCACCTTCACAATCAAACGAAATGTTGGGAATCTCACAGGTAAGCGGGTAAACCCGGTGGAATGTCGGTGAAGACGAGAGCGGTGCAACTGCAGCGTATCGATTTGCGCGTTCGCCACCGCGTAACCCTGTCATTAAAGCTGACTCGGCTTTAGTATTTCAATAATTCCCAGTACCCTCGAAATATGTCTCCGTTTTCACCTGAATCAACGATCGTGAATAATTTGGAAAATTTAGAAACCTCGAATATATACATACATATTTGACGTTCAAAAAAAAAAGAAGCGTGAATTATTGAATAAGGTGAAAGGATTGAATTTTCACGACAAAAGTGGGAACTTCAACGCAAGTATCTCACGGTGAACTGTGTATCTATACAGGAGATAGATTCAACTGAGAGATTTCTGTAAGAAAAAAAGGAAAAAGCAATGGGAATCTTGTGTTCCAGATGGAACGCGACCGCAGCAGACACTTGCAGAGAGCGAAACATGAATCTGAGAAGCTTCGCGATGCTTCTTCCTTGCGGAATATCTCTGTTTTCCGGCGTCGAATTCGTGTGCTGCCCGAAACACCTGAAAGGTACGTAACGTACGTACATTATCTTATATACCACCATACATACGTATATTCCGTTCATTCACCTTAAGGATGATCTTCCCCTGTATCGGATGGAACGTGGAGCACCCTTAACGCCTAACATTCGCCGCGTTGCTTCGCGATGCGTTCTTGTATCGCGATAAGGAACCAGCGAAAGCAGCGAAACGGTGAAAAAGTTGCACAGAAATACCCCCCTTTTTATTCCAGTAGCTCTACGCTTTAGCAAGCTTTCGAGTATAATAGAGAGAGAGAAAGGAGGAGAAACATAGGGAGAGAAAAAAAGAAAGAAACGAGCGCGCGCCAGAGTTTCGAGGAGCTTCAGCGGTTGTCGAATTTTCTGCACGGTGATGTGTCTGTCGTGGCAAACAGAACTCGTTATTGTAATTCGTTGAACAGAGAGAAAAAGAAAAGAAAGAAAGAAAGAGGGAAAAACTATTATACAGCTCGATATCCGCTTGGTAAATAGCGTCGACCGTTAAATTCCGTCGCGAAATTCCCTCTTTGTCGTTTTCTCTGCGTTCTACGTTCACTTCAATCGAGCTTTTTCGCGTGTCGAGTACACTTTTCTGTAATCCATCGAGTCACATAATACCGTTAAATCGTTTCACTGGTTTTCCTTGTTGTTCCAATTAGCAGCATTGGTGTATGATTATTCCAAGCATGTTACAATGGCACAAATGGCTGCGTGTGTTCGTTAAAGACGCTCGGTGAATCTTGAACTTGTCGCAAATAGATGGAATTTGTTTCTTCGAGTTCTGTTCGTTTTCTCGTGTATGATATACGAGTAATTTCTGTTCCATCGAAGCCCTATTCCCCGTTTCGAATGCTAGCGGCGTACGAATAAGGGAGGGTGCATTAAAGAATCGAGGGTGTGCAGTGACTCACACCGAATTGCTCCCGTTTAGGTAGGTATTTGTCACCATAAAATGCACTGGGTATAAACAAACCCCTTCTTGTAATCAATACAGACATATTCTACCTTTTGTTATTATTAAACAGAACTGAAAATATGTATAAATATTGAAATAACGACGAAAGTTACGCTATTGTACAAGAAAAATCCTCGCGCTAAAAATCGTCCATCTACTTTTACTTAAGAAACTTAAACATTTATTGAAAATGTATATAAGGGGAGTTCCCCTATCGCCGGACGTTTAAGGTTTTTCTTAAATAAATCTCTTTACCTGTACACACGCGACTGAAACGCGTAGAAAACTTATTTTTGCTTGTTTTATCTCCTCTAAACGACACGCGGAATAACGGCTCGGTAGCGTTTCAGTTATTACAGATATAGCTAATGTGCCGTCCGGCGTTAAGGGAACTCCCCCCAAGGGTTTCCTTTCTGTCTGAAATATGCAGTTTAATAAACTAATACTATACTTAACAAATAAAAAATATTGAGAAACAATTAACACATTTTTCAGTTCGGGGAATCCAAAAAATGTCACAGGAAGACAATTTTTAGTACAATGCAGTTTTCATAGATATTATCCTTTCCTTGATTCTTTTGCAAAATTTTCCACTATATTCTACATTTAACCAAATATCAACGTAGACGTAGTATTTGCGCATCGACCTGCAAATGTACCATGTTTGTATACTACGTATATATTCCATAGAAAAAAATTAGGAAAGTGGTAAAGGGTGGTAAGCATATATATATTCGATTCTCCCTCTTGGTTCCGCGCGCGCTCGACCAGTTTTACCTTCGTCGCTTCTGTCTTACTCGTTCGTGCAATCAATAACGTCTGTCGACGTTCTCGACGACTGCGCGCAACGTAACACTATGGTTTTGCCCTTTCTGCTGGGTTCCTGCGCATCCTTTCTTTCCGCGGTGTACCACCACGACACCAGAGTATACTACACATTGTACACGCGTACCTGATCAACTCGAGCCAATACGCTTTGTCCATGGTAGTTATGGTCGGTCTGCTAACCAATTTGCGACACATCCCTCCATTCCTTGCCATTCCACCTAGTTTACCGATCAATAGGAATAACCGATGAATCATCGACCGAATCTTCAATCTCGACCATAGACCATCGGCCACCGTCGACCTACCACCGTTTATGCTAATCCTTTTAACTCTCGTTTTACCGAGCTCTCGCGGAGCCTTGATTTCACAGGGATGAAAAATGTCAGAGTAACGTTTTTCTCTATCTTCTTCTATGAAATTTTGCCGAAAGAAACGCTGAACGAAGAACAAGACTGGGTTGACAATGTTAATTTATTCGAGGAGAAACGTTACTCTCAAATATTTTTAGTTTATTTCCCTTTGTCCTTTGGGAAAATCACATCCCCCTTTTTTTTCGGGGAGGCTGTACTCGGAGAAGCGTTAACCTGTATAATTTTTTTTAATATCCAAGTCTTCGTCTAGGATAACCATAGACGTATGTAGAAGGTTACTAGTTACTTGTTTGCAGATTTTGTTTATATCGCTATTTTTAAGCGAACAAGCTGCTGAACTGTGCACAGTTTTTAGCACGGAGAGAATTTTCATGGACGAGCGAGCAAAGCCTTTTTCCTTCTGCGTTTGTGAAAATACGTGGAAAACCCTCGACGTTTAAGCGAAGGGTGATGGTAAAGAGGGGAGAGGTGGAGGAAAGGAGGATGAGGGTGAATTGATTCCCGTTGCTTTCCGTATCATCGATCAAATCTTGATATTTCCTCCGTCTCCCGTTTCTCGACGCTTATCGACGAGGAAGAAGGAGGGTGGAGGATGTGACGACGACGAAGGCGACGACGACAGCGCGTCGACAGCGATGGCTTCGATACGTGTGATAGACGAACAATGTTCTCGGGGAAAAAGTGCCAACACAACCGCCGCGTGACCCAGATAAAAGGATAGCGGCGATGATATACACGCCGCGCCGGGCAAAACTTTTGTCTGCCTTTGCAGAACTGGAGAAGTCAGCTCATCAGTGTGGCTATTCTCAGAGAATGGGACATCTCGAGAACCTAGTTAGTCAAGACGGCTGTCCTCTTCAACATAACAGAGACAAATTAGAGATTTTTTCACGGTGGGAAAGGGAGACACGAGTTGCGGGAAACACGCGGATCATACCAACGGGCTTAAATTTTCAAACTCCGTACCTTGTGTTCTCACCATTTTGCAATGTCAACCATTTCGAATTCCGTTCTCGCTAGAATATTTCTTTTAAGTAAGATTTCAAATTCGCTGAATGGATTTTCGGAATATCGGCAATTTTGTTTCGTTTTCGAAATAAACATTTTCAACTTTCGACTTTTGCTGTTTTTTAAATAAATTGCTGAGAAATTGAAATACCATTCAAGCGTATACAGAAGGTGTTCGACGATAAATGGGAGAAATTATGAATGAAAAGTAATCAAATTGCAAACTCGACTAGGCTTCTCAGTTATAAGGGTTTTTTAAGACGCTTGTAAAATCGTTTAAGATTGAATTCGAAGTAGTTAAATCCTCTCAATTCGCTTTACTATTAGGGACCACTTTTTGCGCTAGATTAACCAGACAGAAAGTGATTTTTTCAAATGTTCCTAACTAAAAATTGACGGGAAATTCTTCAATTCTGTTAACTGCCCAAATTTCCGTCGTATTCGATCATATGAGAATCACTCCACAAAATTTCTTTCGCCTGTCGTCGAACACCGTGAACAAAACAATATTGAGCAATATTGCGAAAGTTAATTAAACGATACTATTTTCGTATACGATTTGTAGAAAACATGAAAGCCAAGAAACCAATTGACTTACCGATTCTGAAGAACGTGGATGAAGATTTGGACGAAGGCGACGATGACCTTGACGACGAGGATGACCTGGACGCCGATGCTGAAGACGAGGACGACTCGGAGGCTGACCCTGAGGATGTACTTAGCGATCAACCGGATGACGACGAAAGCGACGAAGAATATCTCGACGATTACGACACTACGACAAAGTAAATCCACGTTAAATATCAAATACATACTTGATATACGTACATACATAGTTACGAAAATTGAATTTCACTAACGTCTATTTTTTCTTTTTTTTTGGTCCAGTCGATTGTCAACTACCGTTTCAACTACGGAGAAAACGAAACAGGACGTAACTGCGATGCCGTTGCCAGTTAGCACCAGCACACAACAATCTCCGCAATCGCAAAGTGTAGTCGCTCTTCGTACACCTGATCCGTATCTTACTCACTTTGATCCACGCTCCGAGCACCAGAGCTACAAACAAGCACAAATGAGGCTCGAAGAGGTGCACAAGGAGAAAGTGACAAAAGTAAGCGGGTATTACCAGCTAGCTCGCCTTTGAATCACTTTTTGCAACTACTTACCACGTACGCAACCTTTTTGCAACTTCTTCTCGTCGTTCTTTTCTCGTTGTATTGTTTTTTACGGTTGATGAATCTTTTTCGCGAAGAGAAGATACAAAGAAGCGATCGAATTTTCGAGAGACAGTATTATCTCGCGGGACACTATGGTAGAAATCTTTGTGCTACAACGTTTTCAGGTGATGAAGGATTGGAGTGACCTCGAGGAAAAGTATCAGGATATTCGCGCCCACGACCCGGTTGCCGCTGATGCTTTCAAACGATGGATGACCGCGCGATTCCAGGAAACTGTTGCAGCTCTGGAGGAGAGCGGTGCCGCGGAGAAGCATCAGTTGAGCGCTATGCATCAACAAAGAGTGCAAGTACGTGATTCGTTGAGATGATATCTCCAGTATTGCTTAGTGAAAAATTATCGTTTAACTTCTAGGAAGCTGTTAAACAAAGAAACGAGGAAGCGATGTCTTGTTATACTGCTGCTCTAAACGAGACACCGCCAAATGTAAGTTTCTTAAACGTACGCAACAATATCGAGTACTTTTTACACGTTTTCCTCGTTTTTCTTCACTGGTAATCTTCTCACGAGTTGTCGTCACCTGTATTCTTATTTTTCACAGATGCATCGGATTCAAAAGTGTCTACAGAAACTTCTTCGAGCTCTTCATAAAGATAGGCATCATACTATTGCTCATTATAAACATCTGTTGGACAGCAGCTTGGAACAAGCGCAACGCGAAAAACCTGCAACGTTGGAACATTTGGCGGAAATCGATCGAATCACCAATCAAAGTCTATTGATGCTAGAACGGTAACGACTTGATCGATATATCAAATATAGCCTAACTAATATTGACACGTCGGAGAATAGAAAGTTCCAAATTTCGACATTGCAGAAAAACAAATATACTTCAATTTATAGAACACTATATGGAGGATTTCATTCGTTATATTTAGGTATCCTGATTTAAGCGCAAAAATTGGCGGCCTTATGGATGATTACGTTTTGGCCCTCAGGAGCAAAGATGAGACTCCTGGACTGCTGTTAGCGATGACACGAGAAGCGGAAGCAGCCATTTTAGATAAATATCAGGCTGACGTCACCAGTAAACAGCAAGGTGACTTTAAAATTGTATAATTAACCGAGCAAAAATCTTGGCAATCTTACGAATAGGAATAAAAATTATTCGCACAAATATTCGGTAAAGATATTTAAATGAAATCTACCGATTCGCAGAGAAAGAACATCAGAAGCAACTCGAACGTGCGCGCAAAGAACAACGCAAAGCTGAACGTGGCGAATTACGAACTGAACAAGCGCAACAAGAAGAAAATGATTCGATCAACGACAACAAGGATGTTCAACAACAATCGGAGCAACCTTCGGCAGTAGCAGCTATGCACAGCGAAGGACTTGTTAGGGCAGCTCATAGCATGACGCATGATATGTCCCATCCTGAACCGGTAAACACATAATATATACAAGGTGTCAGCGAACTAGTAACACAACCCAAAGGGGTGAATCTACACGAAAAACTAAGTCGAAAGTGTAGAGTAACATTTTTTCATACAAAGCTTCGTGCTAAATTAAGTGCACACATACTCGACGAATCTTTAACATTGACTTACTTTTTTATGTAGATTCATTATTCTTCAGGTTGAACCGTTATTGATACTCTGTGTATAATATTATATGATTTGTACAAAAATTATATTCGTGAAATTAGACTTCAAGAAGTTTAGCAATACCTTTCTATCTCTTTTATCGTATATAACACAGGGTTACTCAATAAGAAGAGGAGAAGTTTATCACAGAGAAAGTCGATCCGTTTACTTTACACTTGCGTTTGCTGGAATTGCACTTATGGCTGCTGCGGTGGTAGGCGTAGCAGTGTTCAAAAGACGCAGCGCAAGAAGCCCTCATAGTCAGGTATGTTTTTAAAATGGTGATTCATTCAAATGATAAATCATTAATTCCTTACTTTTCTATTAAATACCGATGTTCAACGATATTTTCATCAAATATTTTTCAAACGTACCATTGATTGTGTATAGTTGAAATGTTGCAAGGAAACCATTGTCATTTGTTTCTAACGTTGAATACAGGGTTTCATCGAAGTTGATCAAGCGGCTACACCAGAGGAGCGGCATGTCGCAAATATGCAGATTAATGGATATGAAAATCCTACATACAAATACTTCGAGGTTAAAGAATAATTAATCACCTCGGTCTATGAACAGTTTTATTTCAAACTGATCTTTAACAATTATCTCCATTCTCGCGCATATGTTCTTTAAGAATCTCATAGTATTTTGTTAGTGTAAGTAATCAGACTATCAGGTTCGAGGTTCTTCCGAAGATTCCAAAGGAAACAATTGAGAAGCTACAAATCTACATCGTAATGATATATGGAATGAAATCTGTCCATAGAAAAATAGGTATATCGCGATACGGTATCATTATGATGTGACGTCTCTTCATTGCATCTCGTAACTCGATACAAGTACGATTGACGATCTATGATTTGTACGAAGCCTAGTTCATGTAAATTCCAATCTCTACACAGAAGAGATATGAATTGGTCCATTTGCTCGTACCATCAAGACTACGTGCGAAACAATTTGAAATGGAAAAAAAACATGCCAATGTGCCATATGGGAAGCGCGTAAAATTATCTTCGGAAGTATCTCGTGCGCGTTATTTTCGTTTCGTTATCATACAAATTATTAAAAAAGAAAAAACAACCGCAGGAAGGAGCGCTCACAATAAAAGAAAGAATCACTACTCAAACACATTAAGGTTATAGGCGATATCCTTCAAATAGAAGGCTATAAGGTGGACTCTATGATCGGTTATACGAGCTCGTTGTTTTAAGTAATAGGAAATGCATATGCGATGGATCAAACGTATCGTAAGCGTCGATGACGCATTCACAATACGCGTGCTGTTTTGCGCTCTTTGCTGTATAGTTCTGAGTTCTGATATTTTTCGAGGTAGAAATGGCAATAAAAGTAAACGCAGCTTGAATAATATATGAGAATTTTTTTTAAAATGGTAGCAGCGGTAGCGGCTTGCACAGCGACAGCGTAAAAATATAATCCGACTTAATGGGGGAAGAAAGTAAATAAACGAATAAATACATAAATAAATAAATAGGCAAGCATATTACTAACACTATGCGAAAGTGTATGCTCTACCAACACTCTTAAAATATCAGAACGGCAATTAATGCACGTTCACCTTCGTGATGCAGCTGTTTTTTTTTTATCTCCGTTCTATTCCCACTGCCTGATTTTTCAGCGACCTTTTCAGTACTTAACGTCTACTTAGATTATACAACTTTATACTTATAAGAAATTGAATCATGAACGTATCTAAAGTTAACGAGAAGCAAGATATTTTATCATTCCATAACAAAAGTCCACTATCTTATCGAGGTGCTGTCCGAACGTATGTACGGAAAATATTCGATAGCCTTGTTCGACTTGGCCGAGTTACCGTCGTATTTCTTAACGGAAGCGAACAGATCGAAAGAGTCATGCCGAGGCTGCCGAATAAGAGGAACAGTTCAATACAGGAGTTTTTTTGAGTGGCATTAGTACCTCCGATGTAGGTCGAATAAGTGGCGACTATTAAAAGCAAGCGTGTTTGTCTTTTTTTGTTTCATATGTTCTTCATTTTTTTTTTTTGTTTTTGTTTCTCGCAAGATGGTTCATACAATAACTATCTTAGGATATTAATTATATATGATGACGATAATATATTACACGTTTAATGCTTATATATTTGTATATGGTCCAGAGGTAGTAGGCTACGCTTTAGCCAGGGTCGCGTGGGAAAGCATAGCTTTCGTTCGCCTCAACGAATGTTGCACGTCTTTTGTTAAATTAGTTTTATTCTCTTATATATCCGTTCGATACGCGTTATGTACAATTACAACTGCAATTTTAGTTGCGCGAGCATTACGTTTGACAAACCGATTCCGCATTATTGTTCTGTGAAGGAGTTGTATTCATTCCCTTCCTCTCCTCTCTCCCTCTCGCCCCTCTCCTTTATCATCTGTAAGGTTTGTTCGTTTGTTTGTTTTATACAAATTTTGCAAAAAATAAATTAAGCAAATGCGCAAACTGAGGACACTAAACAATATCCTTGGATTCCTAAGCGCACGTGAAGCAGCTGCCTTCCTATTCAGTAAATACGACAGATTGTTTGTCTCACGCAACTCCGGTAGAAGAACGAGCCGTCGAAAAAGTATATACACAGGCACACACATTCGCGCATCACTGAGTGTTGAAAATATTATTTTAGATATATTAAAATGATAGCAATTAACCATATGTCTATGAAGATACAACAAAAGCATAGCATCAATGCGTTAATAATAATATAAATATCTATGTATAAATATATATGTTCATGTGTGTATGTGTGTGTGTGTGTGTGTGTAATATATGAACAATATATATAAATATGTATGTATGTATGTATGTATGTATGTATGTATGTATGTATGTATGGATTTATTTATCTATCTATCTATATGCATTGTACATATATATGTATATACACACATATATATATCTATATATATATATAGTATGTATACATATGGATATACATGTACACCTACCAAATTAACTATACATTATGTACCTATAGCATATAGTTAAAATGACAAGAAAAACATTGACACATCGCGTATAAAAAATCTGACTTGATACGAATTCACAAATGTTGAGGGAAAAACATGCTCTTGTCTGTACAAAAAACAAAAAAGAAAAAAAGGGAAAAAGACGGAAAAGAAACAAAAACTACATTCTTTCTTTCTATCGCGATGTCGTTTTAATTGCAATGATTTTTATTCGTTCTACAAAAGAGAAATAAGGAAGAAGAAGACAAAGATGGTATGTGAATATACATATATACCAGTTGGCCTATGTTTGGCGGATGAGCTGCTGCCCAGCTTACTACGTTATGTTTGTCGGAAGATACGATACAAACAGCACCTGTAGTGCTTGTCAAATTTACCTCGCATACCGTCTTTCGTGTACCATACGCGTTTCTGAAATTTATTGTTACTAAAATTTGTCGAAAAATTTGTTCGCGCCGAAACAGTCGAAGGTGTTGTTTGTTCCCCTTCTATAAATTATCGAAGTAAAAGAGGATACAATATGCGTAGCAAACGAGATATGTGACCCCGTTTCGATTGTTATCAGCAATCGGAGAAACGCGAAGAAAGCTATGATCAGTATTAAAAAGCTTGAAAAGTCCCTCCTGAGCATATCAGTTTTAGTCTGTTCGTTTGGCAGTAATATCCACATTCACTATTTCACTTCAAGATATTGTGAATTTGCATCGAGCCACTTTGTATAAGTTTAAGAATTGATTTTTGTAAAGAGGTAATAAATATTTACCGAAGTAATTAACTTTAGCTTAAAGAGGAACAAATGAGAAAAAAAGGCACGTGAGAAGAAGTGAGGAAAAGAGAGAACAAAAGAAAATACGTCCTTTGCAATAGTGGTTCGGATTTAGAACTCGACGAAATGGGAATAACAACGGAACTAAACTTTATTTTTGCAGTTCTTTCGGTATAAATCGATTCTTACGATTCTATCAATTCCGCGTCTTTGATGAACCTCAATAATACCGCAACAATGCTGAGATACAAAAGCCCAATTATACGTGCAATATATCGATACTCGTGTATACGCCTACACACAACGCTGTATTAGTTTTCGATCTTACGTCTTGCGTTAGTTGATACTCAAATGAAGCGATTTCATGCTAACATCAACAATATTTTATCCAATATCGCTATAGTTTTCCGTTATTTCGCAATTATACGCACTGTCCAACATTTCTTATTTATTAGCAGCTATATCTCTCGGCTAAGATGTTGACTTTGTATGAATCGATCGACGCTAGATGGATATAATCAGCGTCTGAGTTCGATAAAAATTGACTTTTCTAATGCCGCCCATCTTGTCAGACTGAAAAAAAAGAAGAAAAATGGGATCGGAAAAGGAACGCAATTCGTATTGCAAAAAAACACGGTAAATTCTTTTGGTTGTTTTTAATTGTAGGATCGGAAACTACGTGTTTGCTATGAAACGTTTCTGTAACCATTCTTCTTCGACGAGTAGAAAAGTTACTAACCAGATGATTGAACTAACCCGTCTCCCTCTTTCATCACACAGGGATTTCTCCTCGCCACTCACAAATTTTATCGCATTACTACACTCCGTGAAAAGAACGTATTGTGTTTGTGGATATATGTAATTTTACTTATCAATAAATAAATTACAAAGATCCATTTGAATGTCGATCATTTTTCAGTGGCGACATGCCAAATTTATTTGAAATTCAATAATATCCAAATTTCATTAAGATCTACTACCTTTTTCTTGTTGAACTACATATTGCTTTATTACTTTCAACATTGGTCAGTAAGTAAAAGTAAAAGTAAACTATTTATTTAGTTTCGTTTAAAAAAGTGAGTAGACGTTTACAGTGAAAATTTCCAAAAAATCATGCTATTTTCCAGTCATACGATGTGTTAGATACTGATGTTATATCTTTATGATTCATTTATCCAATGTGACTGGTTGCTTAACACGTAATAGTCACGATTGTGGATATTTAAATTTCTGTTTGTCGTTATTCGTTCTCAGTAGTCTGACGAAATTGCTATCAAATCAACGCGTGTATGCTTTGTCTCTTTGTTTCTTTGACGATCGGTATAAAGAGTAGATCAGTACTAGAGTATATACACATGTGTATGGTGAGTATTTCTATTAATAGTGATAATCAAACTACGTATCTATTAACATATATACAATTCCTAATTGACATTTTAGCACGATAATTAATATTATTATCAATTAGCATTAAAGTGTTTACAAAGATTCGATAAACTGTTTTCATTTTATTTGCTGGTCGAACCATGTACTCTACTTACGCGTGCTATATTTTAATTCATCAATAGGAAATGTTGTTTTTATTAATGGAAATTATTACATCTACCTTTCAGTCTGAATAAAATTAAACAAAAAACGTTTTATTTTAGCGCAAACAAAGTGATAAACGTCATTATATAATTCAGTTTATTTCGCAACTGTGCTATTAAAACTACTTGTGTCATTAGGTACGTTGTTTTTTGTTTGAAAATATGAGTGTCAATAACATTTCATTTGTACCTAGGCGCGTGGGACTGTAGTGAGATACTGATATCGATTGGAAAAACAATATGGCTGTTACGTAGAGTTCCAAGAAATGTCAAATGCAAAATAAAACTGTCGTGCAACATAAAGTGTAATATATACCAAGATTTTGATTTAAGTAAACATAATGTAATATAGATTTAAAGTTATGAAATAATGTTGAATGACCCAAATGTCTCGTGTATCAGAAATTGGGTTAACCTTATTCAACTTATCATCATGAACTTTAACTCTTTGCGGTCGTATTTTTCGTAAGCATGGTAGTCGTACTGGTCAGAACTATTTTTTGGTAGTGCGTGCTCAGTCAATTATTGCCTAAAAAACGTATAAATTTTATTCAAATGACTTTGTTTAAGTTGTGTGCATATTATTTTTCTCTTCCTGTTAAAAGTAACATTACATTGTTAACACGAAATGTTATAAAAACTTTTGTTTCTGTCAATAATTAGTAAAATAACGTGAATTTTAATATTACAGATTGTGTAATTGTTATCCATTATAACAATAATTAATTAAAAATTTGTTGCTAAGCTATTAAACAGAAAGCAGCTCAGATGTCGCTGGATGATGATTTTGAGAGACCATTTGAAAATCCTGAGCACCTACAATGGGGAGCATTGCGATCATTGTGTCATGCTAATGCAGAATACTTTATGTCACATCAAGATGAGAACAGTATTAGAATTAGAGCTGCTCTTATGGCAATATTAGATCATTTGGTGCAATTACAACCACTATATAAAGAGATCAGTAAAATTGCACCAATGTTTGACTTTGATGTACAGACACCTGGCAATGGATATAGAAGTTTTTTAGTTCTAATAGATAAATGTATTATACATTCACGTTCTGTCTGTCACAGAATATATTGTCAAAAAGATTCTGTATGGTTTCGTAGAAGTTATCACATGAGGTAATTACCAAAATTTCATTTGTTTAAAACATTCTGACAACTGCTAGCATCGTTGTGCACTTGCTTAGAGCACTTACAAACACTTTATTCATGGAGTGAGCACATAAATGATGGAAAACCGTCTCTCTTCATAGACAATAGTCATAATCCCCATGAAATTTTAAATAAAATAGATAGTATCAATCAGTATTGTTTTTATGGCAGGTGTTTAGGATTTCAGGTACTAACAAAGAGACATCTATATGTCGATGTAATCTTATCTGATTTTTCACATTCTCTAATTAAATGTGTTTTTAGTTTTATGATAATTTAAAGCCTGTTTTAAAAACTATATTGGTTTGTATGGCGACATTCAGCGAAGCATTTTATTCTAATGGTACGTTATTAGCACGTTGTACTAACTACGTTAAATATATGTTAGATCCTGAAATACGGGCACGCCGTATTGTTGACGTGTCTCAGCGTGCTGATATTTCATTTTGTCAAGCCTTTTGGTTTCTTAATGAAACTGGTAAGATACTGTCATTTTTAATCATAACATTGGTACAATTTAATTTTGATTTTAATCCCTTTGGTTGTATTTATGCTTCAATAATCGCTTTAAAATGCAATATATGTAAATTACATGTTTTAGACATTGCGCGTAGGTTACCGACTATAGCCTCCCCTTCTTTGGCAATAAATCAAATAATTTCTATTCCACCCGAAGAACTGACACTTCGTACATTAAATGGTACAAACGTGTCAATTCCGATACCAAACAGTCATGTTGGAAAAAGGCCATTACACGTTAGACTGTTAAGCTCTAAGCATCGTTTAGGAATGGTAAAGAAATAATTAAATTACTTTCTGTAGCTTTTGCAACCAGTATTTTCAATTATTATTTCCGTTTTTATGTTTCCTTCAATTAAATAAAAATTTTTTACAAAGCATTAGTTTCACTCCTGTGCAGTAATGCATGCTTCTCTCAGGTTGGTTCAGGTGGAGTAGCGGGAGAACTGCATGGATTGTCCGATGAACTGGTAATTCATTGTCATGGTGGAGGTTTCGTAGCTCAGACTTCTCTGTCTCATGAAACATATTTACGCAGTTGGGCTATAACTCTTGGTATACCTATTCTAAGTATAGATTACAGTTTAGCACCTGAAGCTCCATTCCCTCGTGCACTCGAAGAAGTGCTATATGCATATGCATGGGCTTTAAATCATGCAAATACATTGCTTGGGAGTACAGCGCAAAAAATTATTTTCGCCGGTAAGATGCAAAGCATCGCGTTGTTACCTAGTTTTTAATATACATTCATATCCATACCTTTTTATCTTATTGTCATTATTATTTATGGATATATTTAGAGGATTAAAACTCTTGATAGGTGATTCCGCTGGGGCAAACTTAAATTTGGGTGTTACTTTAAAATGTATGCAGCTAAATATTAGAAAACCTGATGGAATATTTATGGCATACACACCGGTACTTGTTGACTTCGTATTATCACCTTCACGGTTACTTTGTCTCACAGATCCATTATTACCTATGGGATTTCTGATACGTTGCTTGAAAGCATATGCCTCTTCAGATAACAAACGGGGTGTACGGTAAATGAATGCAAGAAATAAGTCTTGCTTTTAGATAGAATTTTTATGCATTCTTTACATTCACCTCATTATCTTTCTCTGTTTTTTAGAGAAAAAGAAAATGATAGTGCTGAATGTATAAAATCAGATACCGAATCTTTTGCAGAAGTAAGCGAAAGTGATCTAATAGCATTAGCTCTCAGTCCTAATGAAGATGAAACAAATGAAGCACATAAGTTAGCATCCTTACCATCTGATTCTACTTTGAATTCTGTTAGTTTAACAGAAGCTGATGGTAAATAAATGAAATATATATTAATAGAAGAATATTATTCATATAAGGATATAATTTAAAAATGTTACATAATTTTTATTTCAGTTCATTGTTTTTACTACTATAGTTGTTTTTACATTTCAATGCTCTTTCAACATTCTCTAACATAACAGGAATGGAACATCTACAGGAAGAAGCAAAATCTCAAGAATATGTTAACAAATTTGTAGAATTGTATCGAAATTGTGGTACAAATGCTTCAACGCGTATTGGAAATAACATTATTAACACGGATAACAATACGTCGAAAAATGACAGATCGTGGTCTTTCTTTGGTTGGTCTCTCCGTGGAAAGCACAGAGAATCCAAAGAACTGGATATAGAAAATGTAAAAAGTCCTTTGGAAGAATTTATGTTTACAGTGCCCAAGGATCCATATTTAAGTCCTTATCTTGCAGCAAATAATCTTTTAGCACAATTACCACCTGTCAAAATGCTGGTAAATTCTTAAATTTTTAATTTTTTTATAAAAGAAACAACAACTAATTTATACATAGAAAATAATTTTACAATGGGAACAGTTATAAGTGACATCAATTACATTTTCATAGACATTAGAATTGGATCCGTGCCTTGATGATTCTGTTATGTTCGCAAGAAAACTTCGATCGCTTGGTGTATTAGTGACGCTTGACATATTGCCAGGTTTACCACATGGATTTCTTAATTTAACACCGGTACAAACATTGTTTCTTCGATAAAGCGACATTATAATCATATAAGTATTATATCAAAATAATTTTAATTTATAGGTTTCAAAAGAAGCAAGTGAAGGATCAGATCTATGTGTGAAAAGAATTCAGGAGCTACTAGTATTATAATTATATGGATACAGCACTCATAAATATATAGATGTGAATATGCGGGAACAAATAGTTTCTTTGCTATTATTCTTCTTTTAGACATCAATTATAATTGATTCTTTATGTACAAAGATTTATAACAATAATTTGCAATATTCGAAAAATTTTATATATTGGTACGTGAACGCGACAAATAAGTAATATTTTTTATCTACATATTTTGTATTATACTTTTATATTTTGTTAATAACGTGCGCATTTAATAGCTATTTTAAAGATAAATAATCTCAAAGCACTGTACTTAAATGATAATATTAAAATGCTAATATCTTTGTATTTTGTCGACTAAATGTGCAATTGTTGAGAAAAGTAGTTTGGCTTCCAATTTTCTACTTAAAAATAAGTTCTTTTTATCTTTTTCTTCCTTTCAAATAAGAGATCTATAGATATATCGGCTGTAAAAAGTACTCGAGATTTCTTCAATTCTCAGTACTCAATATCGCGTTATTTAATGCTTTACACAGCTGACACAAATTATTAAATGTATTAGACATGAACAAATTAATATTAATATGGTACCAATTTAATAAAACGGTATAAAGAAAATTAATATATTATGTATATATAACATCGGTAATTCTTCCGTAGCTATTTTTTCTTGTTTAGAACATTAATAATTGTTAAGTTATATTTCTCATATGAAGTAAATTGTATTTGTCAGCTTTATTAAATTATTTATAAAATTCTAATTTTGTATAACATACTGGGAAGTATAATAAAAATAATTTTATTACCAAACTATAAAAACATGTAGTTTTTGAGATGCGATAAATTAATGATTTTTATTGATTACTTTGTTGATTATTTGTTTGATTTGTTTTAGGACGTAAAGTTTTTTGCAATACATGAGCATCTGCCGGTTCTATTCTCTTATAATAGTGTTCCTTTGTTTCTACTATTTCAAATCCAAATTTTTTATAAAAGTCAATAGCTCCTTCATTACTTATTTGAACATGACTGCAAACAAGAAATAAAATACAGAAACAATTATTAATTATACACTTGTATAAACAATGTTTAAGTTATTATAAGAATTAATTGAATACTTACAGGAAAATGGAATCGAAATTTCCATCTTTATTAACATAATTTAAAACATGTTGTACCATTACAGTGCCTATTCCTAACCTTCTATAGGGATAAAGGCATCCCAATGTCATAATATACAAACGCCTGGAATTTTCAGAAGTATCTACTCGACAACAAACTGCACCAACCTAAAATGATAAGATTATCTAATTTAGCTATACTTACTTTTATTAATAAAAATTGTGTTTAATAACAAAAAAAAAATGAAGCATACCACTATATCATTATAGTATGCAAGTTTTGCAAGTTCTCCAGCTTCTAAAACATCCTTGTAGAACTTTTCATTGTATGAGACTGGAAATACCACTTGGTTTAGAAGTTTGAGTTGTTTTATATTATGTGGTGTTACATCTCCTAATTCTATTTTTGATCTGTAATTTAAAATTTCTATTTTCACAAAACATGAAATACATTTACATGTAATATTACAATATTCAGTACTAGAATAATAACATTATTGTGTAATAGTATAATACATTGAAACATTTAAATATATTATACATTTATCTTGATTTGGATATATTAAAATAAGAATTTTAGAAAATAATTTTGTAGATTTTAATATTACTTTTTACATACTTACTTGTTTACAAGCATTATTTTTTACATACACATTAACCACGCTTCAACATAATAACACGTTTTCAAACAAACATGCTTTTGAAAATAAGAATATTTAAATTTTCCGCTTATAGATAATTATTGCAAATTATAAATAAAACAGAAACGATCGTAGAGAATGATGTACTATACATTCGAATAAAAACGAAGAGATCACTTTTAGAACATTGTAATTTATGATATAAATGTATAGCCTAAAAATTTTTAAAACTTACCTAGTCATATTAGGAAGTGCGGCAAATTTTAACGTTTTTCGGATGAACAATAATAACAAATTTTAATATAATTTGGTTAATAAGTATATTACCAAAAAAATAATCCTCATGTATTACGGAGAAACGTTACGCGGCTTTGTCTTCCTTATACTGAAATTTTATTAGCAAAATAGGTTAAATATATATCTGTCTTCAAATTTTGATAGGTTTCAGAATACATCAATTCTTTCCTTATTTATGTTAATTTTTATAAGTTTATACATTTAAACGTAATTTCTATTTAGTCATTAAAAATTTAATAAAGTTTCATTATTAATAATAAACGTAAGTAAATTGTATATGAGTATTTCTGAAGTAGGAAAAAAAATTCAATGAAATTGGATATAATTAAATATTGATATTATTACATATAATATTTTAATTTCCTTAAATGAATGCAAGAAAAACGTTTATCGAGGAAAATATATATTGTTTATGAATTTTATTGTTTCGATTTAAGTTATGAAAGTTGAATTACTTTGTGATACGTTTACCCATCGGTAGCAATAGTGATGCGTATTAGACATTAATTTGAAACATAGTCTATTATTTACAGTAAACTAATTTTTACATAATGTCAAGCAACAAGAGGGAACACAGTGAAAGTGATAATGAAGAAAATTGGGTTGGACCATTACCTTCAGAAGCTGTATCTCAAAAAAAGCAGAAAGGTTCATACATATAACCCCCATTTACTATTATTTGTATCATAATATTTTATAGAAATTAAATAAAATTTTTCCTTTTGTTTGGTTTTTCATTGGATTGCATAATATAAAATCCTAATATTATTATACTGTTATCATTATAGAAATGTTCCAACATTTACGCAAAACAAATGTAATATAATTTTGAACTGTTGTGTTTTTATTTACATTTTTTACAATTTTTAATTATACTGTACTAACAAAACTGTATCATTAAGGAACTGTTATTTGAAACTAATAAGCATAATTTTCATTATACAAAGTGGTTTTTAAATTTTCACATATTCATTAAGTATTATCTGTCCTTCAATGTAGTTTGCTTAATTAAATTTAATGTAAAATTTTGCAGTTTTAGAATATGAACAGGTGTATGTGGATAATTTACCATGTTGTGAATGTTATGAAAAATCTTATATGCACAGAGATGTAATCACTCATATTTTGGTAACAAAGTTAGTATTAACTATTATATTTAATATTTTTGATACTAGAAAATAAGAATAATTTAAGTTTAATTTAATATTTTTTTACCATTTCAGATCAAATTTTGTGATAACAGCTAGTTGTGATGGTCATGTAAAATTTTGGAAAAAACAAGAAGAACTCATAGAATTTGTAAAACATTTTCGTGCACACTTGATGGCTATACAATCTATGGCTGCAAGTTGTGGTGGTGTTCATGCATGTTCAGTGAGTTTAGATAAAACAATAAAAATTTTTGATGTTATCAATTTTGGTTAGTATTTTTTATTATATATGCACATATTTTAATAGTTTCTGGTATTATAAGATTTTTATTCAGTTGTCCAAGTTGGAATATTACTTCAGATATGATTAATATGATAAAACTGGATTTTGTACCACTTTGTTGCGAATGGATATATTCTCCTGGTGATGCAATATCTGCCTTAGCAGTTTCTGCTCAAGAATCAAATAAAATTTATATTTATGATGGACAAGGGACTGGTACACCATCACATGTGTTTGAAAAACTACATACCAAGCCTGTTGTTGCTATGAAAGTAAGAAAAATAATTACAAGTATCATATGCTATTTGTTTTTTTTTTTTGCAAGAATTTTCATCGAAAATGTTTGTTATTTGTAGTACAATCCAGTATACGAAACGTGTATCTCTGTAGATAAAGCAGGGATTTTAGAATACTGGACAGGACCGAAAACGGAGTATAGGTTTCCTAAATGCGTCCTATTTGATTCCAAGCTGGATACAGATTTGTTTGAATTTGCAAAAAATAAAACTTATCCATGTGGTTTAGCGGTATCACCAAATGGCAAGAAATTTGTTTCTCTGAGTGGAGATAGAAAAGTTAGAGTTTTCAATTTTCGAACAGGCAAACTATATAGGATATTTGATGAAACGCTGCAAAGGTTCTCTGAATTGCAACAAATGACACAGCAATTGCCAAACATGGAATTTGGACGGAGGTATAACATTATTTTGACGAAAATGTACAATAAATTAAATGATTATATTCCGCTTGATATATTAAAAAATTTCTTACAGAATGGCAGTAGAAAGAGAATTGGATAAGACAGAAACGAACTTGGGAAATATAGTTTTTGACGAATCTGGTTATATGATTTTATATAGTACAATGTTAGGTGTAAAACTTGTAAATCTATACACAAATCGGTGTATTAGAATTATGGGAAAACCTGAGAATATTCGTCCTATGCAATTAGCTCTATTTCAGGTACATATATACTTGAGAAGTTACATTTCTATATTCTTACGGACAAATTGTTAGTTGTAATAACTTTTTTCTTGAAAAATGTATAGGGAAAAGCAAGGAAAACCACAGCAGCTGTAACCGTAGAAATGGAGGCTGCGGAAAATCCAACGTTAGAAATGAACCGTCCTGATCCAACTCTCTTTTGTACAGCTTACAAGAAGAACAGATTTTATATGTTTACGAGAAGAGAACCAGAAGACACTAAAAGTCAAGAATGCGATAGGGATGTTTTCAATGAAAGACCATCGAAAGAAGATATTATTTCTTCCACAGAAGCTACTAATGTACAAAAGATTTATGACACAGCGATTATTCATACGGCTCTTGGTGATATTCATGTGAATCTATTTGGCAAAGATGTTCCGAAAACCGTGGAGAATTTCTGTGTTCATTCAAAGAATGGTTATTACAATGGACATATATTCCATAGAGTAATTAAAGGGTTTATGATTCAAACCGGTGATCCCACTGGAACTGGTACCGGTGGAGAAAGTATATGGGGAGGTGAATTTGAAGATGAGTTTAGGCCAAGTTTAAGACATGACAGACCATACACTTTAAGTATGGCCAACGCTGGGCCAAATACAAATGGAAGTCAATTCTTTATTACATTAACACCAACTGTATGTCCAAATGATTTGATACATTTCTATACATTCATAATTAATAATGCATACTAACTGAAAGTAACTTAATATTTAATTTCAGCCTTGGTTGGATAATAAACATAGCGTATTTGGTAGAGTGGTAAAAGGAATGGAGGTTGTACAAAATATTAGTCAAGTGAAAACGAATCCGAAAACCGATAAACCTTACGATGACATAAGAATAGTTAGTGTTACTGTGAAATAATAATGTTCCAAAATAAATCGACAAAACAATACATACTTGTAAATATATCTGTTCTTATGTTGTATCTTACGGTTTTATATTTTTTTATTGTACATGTGTGTGTTCTTATTGAAATATCATGTTGTGTCCTGACTCATTTGATATAAAAATCCTCGTATAAAATTATATGCTCCCGTGAAACTTGTGAACGCGTTTACGCCAAATAGGTTGTAGTTCTTTGGTATAATTACTAACGCGTATCTGACGAATAAATAATTAGTAATAATTATTCTCAGTTATGAAAACTTTTAAATTAGAATCATTAAAAAAAAAGAAAAAAATACCTGGACCATATAGCACCAGTGATCATAAGACTTGCAGTTTGACTGAGAGAAATCGTATGTGCCGGTCGGTTAATGTCTCCTAATCCTGCTATTACTAAACACCATTTGAATGTCGGTGCCCAAAAAAATACCGTACTTGGCCCTATATTAATCGAAATATTATCAATACCAATAATAAATCGAATTCTTACGAGTTTTGTTCCTTTGAGATTGTTTTCCGACCTGCAGGATGTAGAAAAATGGGACGAAATCTTTTCGGTAAAAGGCAGGCTATTCGACATATGAATCGTTGATAAATACTGTCCTTTTGTCTTGGAAGCATTGTATAATAGTTGATTTCTTCAATTTTGTAAAGTTTTATAAAATCGTTTGTGTGATAAAGTTTGACAGAAAAAAGTGATATGTGGAACAATAAGACTTAACAAAATTTGAGTATACTTAGACAGTTTATTATTTGTGGCTGTCTTTGAAATCTATCTTTGAAATAAATTTCAAGAGTGTTAATACAAACGTTTTATTCGACGAAATTACTTTCTAACTACACAATTTTTCCGAGTAAATTGAAAGTGCTGTATCAAATATATCATAAAAAGTCAGCGTTTTACTATTTCAAGTAAGTACATATTACTACAAAAAATTAAAATAACACAAACGAATTTTGTAATGGTAAAAGATAAAATTTAATATTTTCCCGCTTTTTCTGTGCCTTTTTATTCCTCTTTAGTTTTTGAAAGTAATCGATTTCATGATGGTTGTACCCACGAAAAATATTTGCGTACATACTTGGAAATAATAATACATAAATATATTTTTCTAAATAAAATTTTGGCACAATTCAGATCTTTTTTAAACTGAATATTTTTTTAACAATTGGACCATTTCTGATCATTTTCTTTATTGCATTCTGATTGGCTCTAATCTAAGGATCAATATAGTGCTTTTGATCAATGGTTTCTAATTGACCGCATGACAATTTCGAAGCATTTACAATTTTGTATTTTAATCATATGACTTCATGAACATAGACTAACTAGTTTTAAAAGAGCCACGTGTCTATTTCAACATAGAAAGGTTAATTTAAACGAGGCAAATGAACCATACGTATGCATGTGTACAGTACTATTGCGTTAACTGGCCGCTATTGCTATCCCCACTACTTCTTAAAACTGGCATTGTGAAGTGAGCCCCCAGCGTTACGTATTTAAATTAAACAGGGGTCTCGATATTTCATACCAGGAAATCGTATCCCACTCGCACTCAATGGAGAAGAAATGTACTCGTGATTTCCTAAAACATTATTACCTTGATTACTGACCAGATGTGGTTCTGAACAGCGGCCAGCTAACGCGACAATGTTGTACATGTAGCGTGTTAAAAAAGAATTACGGAAATTGTGTAAAAAATGCTCATTAAATATAACTCGAAAAATCCATATTATCGGAAACAGAAGTGGGTAATTTATTTTAATACAAATAGTTTGCTTCTTTTGCTGAGCAAATACAGATCAATTGTTGAGTTTAGTGTACTATCTATTTAGTCAATATATTTTCTGGCGGATATACCCTTCAACGAAAGCTTAGATGTAATCAATTTTTGATCAACGTAGGTGATTGATATAGAGGGCAAGTGAATGAAAAAGTATCATTTTATTGAGAAGAATTGAAGTTTTTATATTTTTTAATTCAACGCATGTTTCACGGTTCTTTTTCACAGCTTCTGCGTAGCAAGCTGAAAATCCTATTTTGTTGGTTTTACAGACCCTTTCTCCTCCTTCCACCGTTCGTTGTGAGCTGCCTTGTATTGTAGCTGGATTGCCAGGCTCCAGGGTAATTTTTAACAATTCATAACTAAAAAATCGGGGAATTTTTATTTTCGTTTTATTTTGTCACGTAAAACTACTCTTTAAAATTGTTTCCACTCCTTGCCAAATATCCTGCGCATATTTCGTTACATGCAAACATTGCACATACAACATATGGCGTATAAAACACCCGCGTATTATCGTATTTAGAGATGATGCATCAATCAATGCGTGCAACAACATATACTCTTCTCCTTCGCAAGTAAATAAAAAACTAATAATAATAATAACTATATACGTGAGTCATGTTTTCTATAAAAAAAAAAATGGGAAATAATTGAAAATTGTTGTAGCTATATTTTATAACACAGATTTGAAAAAAGTGACGAATTTCGTATCAGTGTAAATTAATTTCATGATCAGTGTAAAATTTGCACATCACCAACATTATGAGTTGTTATTAAACATTTAAGGAAATTACGCATTAATGATATAGAATTCATGGGAACTATTATTAACGAGAAAATAATTAACGAACTGATATCGTAAAATTTGAATTATCGATTAATTGATTATCCAATTTCTAAGCATAAACAGTCGAGAAAGTAAAATATTAATTAAACGTTTTTCGTACGGTAATATGCACACATATTAATATTTGTAGCGATCAATGTTTGAACGATAGTTCAACACTGTTCCTTTAGTTAGTAAATCCATATAGAAAAGAAGTTATTATTTTAATATAATCCTTTTATTTCAATTTTAAGTATCCATATTTCAACAAAAATATTCCATAAATTGTTTTACTACTCATAAAATCAATTTTAAAACATTTCTTTAAAAGACTTTGTTATGGAGATATACTTGCTATTCATTCTGTATCAAATTTTCGTTGTTGTTAACATACTTGTTGCATTATTTAACGGTTTCTTTCATTTGTTCCATTTAACAATTTATTTTCTTTTTTCAAGGGTATTAAAGAATTCCATTAAAAATTTTCTATACAGAGTGGAGTTATTTGCACAAACAGAAAGCATCTTAGCAGTATTATTTTTATTCCTTGCTCAACACCATTCATTTTTATTCATTTTTCAGAGAAATCAAACGTTTTCATACGCATACAAACAATATGACATGTACAATGTAACGAACTGTATGTGAGAAGATTTATAACAATTTAGAAAATATATTACTTCGAATAAAGAACAAAATACATTACATCTTTAAGTACTATGGTGCGACGTTAGACGTTTTATAATCATTTCATTATCTCCTAATCCTTGATCGTATCTTGGAAATTTTCTCCCCAATCGGAATGTTACGGAGTGGTTCTTTTGTAAAAGGTATCTAACATCAAAATCAGTTACATATGTTCCCAAAAATCGATATTTTTTTTTGTGTGCTACAAGAATATATTTACAATTTTCATAATATTTGAACTGCAGTAAATTTTCAATTTATCAATTTTTCTTTACAGTTGGACATATTCAAAATGGAAAAAATATCGTATATTTGCTTTCTTCCTACATCTTCAACACTTTTCGATTCACCTTTTGAAGCAAATTCTCTACGGTATTGAATTTATTCAAATAGACTGTTCAGAATGTACAAACTCACTTATCCAATTCCTTTGATAAAAATATTTTTCTTTCTCCTTTCTTCTATTCTTACAACACTTTCTACTTTCATATTTCACAGCGTTTCGTTGCTATCTGCACTTTTGCATTGACATACATCTTACATTAATGTGTTTCAGGCTTCCACTATCCCGCCCCGCTTCCTTTTAGCTTAATCTTAAGCTTGATAGTAAGCTTAATCTTTATGCTACTTTACGAGTTGGTGGAGGAGGGGATGTTAGAGCACAAATAGGTCCTCGCAGCTTTTCGTTTTTCTCTTAAAGCCCAATAGGTGCTTCAAGATCTTCCTACGATGTTTGCTCCTCTTTCTTTTGGTCGCCTGTTCCCGATCTCGTTGAGGATTCAGCTTGATCTGCGCCAATATGCCTACTAATAGCTCGTCCACGTGATGAGCCAGCCCTGAAGAGGTTTCGATGAACTTGCATCCGCAATTGTTCGCCAAACGTCGGCCAACTATTAATAGGAAGATGTCGAAATTTTCTTGAGTTCTATCATTTCTCTGTTATAAGACTACGTTCAAAATATACACGGTCGAGTAACCAACTTCTACATTTATGCTATGTTATTTAACATTTATATGTATATTCAACAGAGTTCTATTTGATTGTAAAAATTGTTTGATTAATGAAAATCTTTGATCGTGGTAAAAATGTTGAAAAACAATTGTAGACAACTTTGAAGCATTACATGTGTTTGAACAAGTAAGTAACTGGAGCGTATAACTCATTAGCAAGTGAGTTATTGCCATTACTTACCAACAGATGGAACTTGACGTTTCCGTTCGAGATCTACTTTGTTCCCAACGAGAATTACACCATGACAGGCCATGTAATCGCTCTTCCATAGATACAATAACGTCTCCTCGGCAATTTTTAAGCTACGTCTATCTACTACCGAGTAAACTACCACGTAAACGTCCGGGTTGTACGTTGAACAGAACGTTTCGACCTGAGAAAGGTAAAGCGTACACTGGCTCTTTCATAAAAATCTTCAAATTTATTATTAAAAAAAAGAAATAGTTATTGCACTTTTTACGGTTTCAACGTTATATCGAAGTTTTTCCCATTTAAACTGAATATTCAATATTCTGCTTATAATCAAAAGTTTCAACTAGAAGCATCCATAAATTTGAATGTAATTTCAGTTTTCGATGTGTTTGTAAATTTATGAATAAAAAATTAATTGAATTACAATTTTAAATTTCCATCGATTTTCTTGCAATGTTTATCATTGCTGTAGTTGTAAAATTAGAAAATTGTCTGGGAGAGTTTAATGAAATTTACTTTGTAAAACAGGAGAAACTTCAATTTACTTGGTAGAATATACTTTGAGCTGAATATTAAATGTGTAACATAATCCTGGAAATTTTTATCAAGATAATTCTAGCTGTTTGAATAAGCAAAATTCTGACCTTTTTGTTACGGAAGGTTTTAAGTGAATTGAACACAATGGATGCGAAGAAAAGAAGAGCGAAGAGAGACAGAAAAAGAATCCAGCGAAAGAAATAATGAAATGTTATACGTACAGATATCTCCGCTGCGGGATGGTCTATGATTTCCAGTTCCGTTTCTTGGCCATTCAGCATCACAGAAACATTTTTCTGTCCGTACTCCTCGTCTGAAACAAAATTTTAATATTAATCAAAGGTTAATATTTCACGAGATTAGTTTGAAATAGCTTATGCACCGATCGGTACATGGAGATTTGCCAAGCTTCAGGGATATTTTAGCCAAATTCTGAACCGCCGATAACAAAACAATTAAGTCTCAAACGATTTTCGTTTTTTTTTTTTTTTAATTTTTACAATCAGCCCTTAAAATTTCTCGTTTCGTCTCTTTTCCTTTCTTATCATTCTCTGATAACACTTTCTTATTCCATTGCTCTCTTTTTTCTCTCTCGTTCTTTATTCTTATCGCTCCCTATTCTCTGCTGTTACTACGAACTTTCTCTATTCAATTTCTTCCTCACCGTATACTCTGCAGCTATTACTACGACCAAGCTTTGTATTCGAGCTTTCGAAGTAACACGCATTACGCGAACGACGCATTAATGAATAACGAACATGAAAAGAAGAAGATGAAGAAGAAGTAGCAGCATTGAAAGAAGCGTCCCGGGGGATCCCTGAAGATTAAATAATCTCGGTGTACTTGGTGTGTTCTCCGCAGAAAATGTAAGAAAACGCGTCTCCTCTCACCGAGAGAAGTGTCGTAGGCGCAAATGTAATCACTGGTGGTGAATTGCGCTGTAAGGGCGGTTTTCCCAACACCCGACGCACCCAGCATGCCAACTTTGTAAGTGGCTACTTGTTCATTACTCGTGTACTCCTCAGCCTCGATGCCAGAGATCTGCGACGCCGAACTGAAATGTAGCATAAAAACGTTCGCGGTTAAATGCGGAATGTTTTGTCGAATTTCGTCGAAACGTGAGGTGTTTTTTGTCATTTATATCTATCGTGTAGGTCTAATGTTGATAAATCTGGAGAATTTCTGTTTCGATGAGATAGAAGCTTGAAAATGGTCAATTTCGAATCACAGTGTATTTCCTGTGAAATCTATCAGGTCGTTCGGAAAGTTCTGAATTGAAATAATCGTAACTCTTTCGAAAGTTAACATATTTGTACGAAATAAGAAGCGTTGCAATCGATACACCTTTAATAACGTGTTTCAAAAATTAAGAAAGATTATCAACGACAATGTTGGGTTTTTACGTCCGTATATTCTGGCTGAGACACTTTTTGTAGTGATTATTTTTATACATAAAACGTTTAACGATGAACAATTGAATCAGCTTCAGTGTCGCCGAAGGAATGAAAAATCAGTTGGATGATGATTTATTCTCACCTGAGCAACCTGGCCTCCCTAGTGCTGCTGCAGCTAGTCCCAGAAGACGTGACGCTGTTGATACTCTTGCTACGACGACTTTTCAGCGAATCACCGAGGTTATAGACACCATTTGCCGTTATGGAAAACGATCTCAGCCTGTAATACTCCACTCCGTCCTCGGTTTCAACGTCTTCAGTACCGCTACCACCGCCACATTTCGTATCAGCGAGCATTGTCTGCAACGTTAAACGGAAAGCCAAAACGATTACCGTGCTACTTAACCCTTTAACACTTTGACAGTCTAATAAAATTATGAATTGCGGTAAAAAAAATGTATATTTCACACGTATTTTTCTAATAATTACGTCGGGTACGACAATAATATTTCGTGCCCGGAATATGAAAAGCCCGGAGATAGTCAAATTCACAATTTGACTCGACAGATACTCAAACTCGATTCTTTTTTTCGAAAACAACGCTTCGAAGGAACAAATTTTATTCTTTATATTTTCGGTTTATTTTTACATGTATAATCATCTTATACTAATTGTAAGCTCTATCTGCCTCACCCTGTATATAGAGAAAAGAGTCCATTGAATAGAGAATAGGATAGAAACGGCGAATAGAATAGAAACGCCTTTAAGGCTTTTTTTCAATCGTATCTAGAAATCACCGCCATCCACGACGTAGCTCGTGTCGCTTTTCGCGAGGTATTACCACGAGAAACGTTAGCGGCACTGTTATCGCCGAAATTCTGTCAAAACAGATAAGAATTCGATAGTTAAAGACGTTTTCCAATTTTCCACCCATCGACAAGTCACACCGATCGTCTCACGCGAAGGTTAAGGACGGCGATGTCGCATACAATCTTGAGGATCGTCGTGTTCGTCGTCAAGTCTAGGTACTCCCGATATTACCCTCTTAACCCTTTAAAGTTGAGCAAATTGTTAATGTAAAATTTTTGCCAATCCTCGTTGACGAAACGAATAATCCCTAATGTTGGTCAAATTTACCTCTCAACTTGTTCAAAACCACTATCTAAGTACTTTACTGTGTGCAGCTCAGGAGTTTGCCCTCGGGGCGTCGCAGGGGCAAGAAGGGCAATTCGCTCGCACCGCCCAAAAATCTCACGTCACAGAATTTTAATTGACCCGATTCGTCGATGTTATCGCGACGGCCAATAACGACAATACGTGTGCTCTATTTTTATGATAGTGTTAGGAAAAAAATGGACTTACGGGGACGTGACCGAATCGGTAGAGATGGGATCAGGTTGAATGTGTTCTCACGAATCCCAGTCAATTTCAATAATCAAGTTTCGTTTCGTGGGTTTCGATTACTACTCATAAGGAATAAAGTTGCAATGTAATCATTGTATTCAAGTTGGTTTCTGGAATGAGTACCTGCAGGTTTCGGAAACGTACTTATAAGTATAATAGTACTAAAATCTAGCAAATAAGAATTCTATAGCTCTCATATGAAAATCATGTGTATTCTTATAATTTTTAAGTTATACCGTAAATACCATAATTGTTTGTAGAAATAGCGAAGAGAGAATAATTTGGAAAAGCAGAAACTTTTTGGTAAGGTACTCGTACAAGTTTCGAATCTATTCGACCAGTGTTCGAGTCTACTTGCAGGTACCTTTTTCATTTTTTCAAGTACTCGTAAAAGATTCGAACCTATCTCGTTTGGATTCGAATACACTTGAAAGTACTATCTTTATTTCCCGGAATAGAGGAAAATTTATAGAGGGTTTGAATCTACTTGAGCTGTGCTTACACGGTACAAAGAAAGTGTAAAATTGTGCTATTTATCGGTATATATTTTGTTCTATTTGTTGAAATCGCTGGTTCAAGCACGTGTATACAAATGGTGATGTATTGTAGTTAAATTGGTAGCTGTTGGTACCTGAAGGGTCGTTAAACTTTTCAAATTAACACGTCATGAGTGTACCGAGCTTTACGGATCTGGGTAAAAACGCGAGGGATGTATTCAGAACGGGTTACCATTATGGCAAGAGGCTTATTAAATTGAGTGTAAAAAGCAAGTCCAGTGATACTGTGGAAGTAGGTAGTAACTTGCGTTTCGAGAGTGAGACGTCAAAGGTAAGAGCTTTTAACAGGTAATCTCTGCGGCAGAACGCCTGTTATCTATCAAGTTCATCATTTTTTTCTCGTATCCAACAGATTTTACTGTATCTTCGATAAATCGTTGGAAATTGTCATTTTTCGAATTTTTCGCTACGGTAATTTGTTGTACAGCGTGAGATAGGTAAATTGTTACAAGTGAAGAGATATTGGAAAACTGTTTGTCGGGACTTTTATGGTAACAGGGGACATATTTGTTGTGGTTGGTGAAATATTTTTAGATTGGGTAAATTTTAAGTTCCCAAAGTCACCTTCGAACGAAAATTTCGCTGAAAAAAATCTCATTTCTTTCCTAACTCACCCTGTATATGTACGTATTTAAAAGCAGAGTAAAATAATTACGGAAAATTTCATATTTACCATTTTTCGAAACATTGCGGTAAAACATAAAATCGAGCGACAAAATGAAAACTTATTTGAGATTTCGAGGTGCCGGTTTCGTTTGAAAAAAAAAAAAAAGAAACGGAATACTGTGTGATTAATATACGCATTCGTGCAAGTTCAGAGAGCAACGAATGCATTCCCTTTAAAAGTAGAGTAGTACTTCTCACGGGCAACAGTTTGAATAGGTTTTTTTTTCCATCCTCGTGAAAGTTTCAAACTTTTATCAATATCTCCCATTATTAGACAAGAAAGTTCATACATGTTACTTCACTTTCTGTATCATACCATTTATTTAATCGTCGAGAGGCCGAAGGTTCGACGCTCGGTTCAATTTTTCTTTTCGTCACATTTCTATCTAAATACATTAAACTAAAATTTACAGAAAATGCTATTATTGATTAATTATTGAATAATGGTTAGATAAAGTTTAATTGGAGATATTTCGGACACCATGTATGCGTGAGCTTTTCTGACAAATTAGGTGTGTGGCGACGTGCCATAGAGGAAATTCCCAGTGATTTGTGTGTCGCTAAATTCATTTACCAGACCGTAAGATACCATTAATTTTGCAAGCGATTAATCAGGGTACTTTGTGAAAGGTAGTTAGCGAACCGATCTTCTACGAGCCGTGTCCCTTATTATTACTGTCATTAATATCATCATCATTATATTATTTTTAGTATTATTACGACCGATAAAAATGATTTATTTGCAATTTTCCAACTACAGTTAACCGGTACTGCGAATACAGAATACAAGATGAAGGACTACGGAAGTCTTCTACTAAAATGGACGACAGACGGTACTGTCACTCTGGGTTATAATCGCCATCACACCATAATCCCAGACATTGGCTTACAATCGGAGATTAGTTATAATCCTGAAACTACTGCACGCTCTGTAGAAATCGGCGCGAAGTGCAGCAAGCAAAGTTTCAACGCACTTTGTTCGATCTGTTAGTCAATTTACTTTGGTTAATATTCGTTAAATTTACAGTTAGATAGATACTTAAATCTTACTACAGTTTCAGAAAGATGACAGTTGAGGCCATTGATGGAAGAAGGGAACGTACGCCAAAATGCCATTTCGAGAAAATCGATTTCGAAGCTTTCGTTATATTACTTAGTTAAAAGTAACGCAATTAAGTGTGAAAAAGAAATGATCTGTTATATACATATAATTGTAACGATTATGTAACATTATTCCATCGATGGCTTCAATTTTAACATTCTCGAGTCCAGTTTTATAAAAGATATCTCCTCTTTACATGGAACGATATTTACGAAATTCGTAAACGAGAAAATGCGTTTTATTTGCAGCCAGTGACATGAATTCGAATGTGAATGTTTTGGGATCTATAGTGACCGCTGTAAAGGGCCTACTGATCGGCTACCAAGGTGGCTACAATTCGGAAACGAACAAAATGACTACAAACGACGTTGGGCTAGCCTTCAATTATCGGGATGTCGGTTTTCACTTTCGATGCACCTCGATACCGCATGAATACGGACTGTCTCTTTTATACAGAGGTTCACAATTTTTACTGTTTTTCTGCTTTACCGTAAATTCGTCAATTTTTTTAAGTCTTCGATGAATTGGGTATCATATTGAATATCCACGATTACTGTGGAATATTAGCGAGAATTTGTGAGAAAAGAAGTATATACGAAAGTAATTAGTATTTTAACAATGAAATTTTCACTATCGATTAATTCAAAATTTCTAGAATACCTTCGTGAATTTTCTGCAATAGAGAACTTAGGAAGGAGGAAGGTTTCTTCCTCCTTCTTAAAAAATAAAAAATTAAGACGAACAGATGCTAACTCGCAATTATACAGTTTGTTCGACAACAGTTAGGTCAAATGGTAAAGCTTGATTGCACGTAACGAGATAAGACGTATACAGGAAAAAGTTCTTCGGTTATTAGTAGTTGAAAGATAATCTCGTACAGGTCTGAAAACTCTGTCGATCTGTTCAGCATCGGTAAATGTAGAGTAGGTCGATGCACGATAGGTACATTCATTCTAAAAAACAATGAGGCACAGTTATAGGTAGCTAACAGAGTTCGCTGTGAAGAAGAATCTTGCAACATTGTCACGCTGTAAATAATCATTGAAAGAAAGAAGGGAAATTACGCCTCGTTATTTTTTAGGACGACTGTACTGTGCGTTGACCTGTTCCACATTTGTCGATATTAGATTGCTCTCCCTCCTGCACGGGTCCTCGAAAGGTTACCCTTTTTTAAGCGCTTTTTATTGAAAAGGAAGAAACCCCGAAATCCCGCGAAATTTTATTTCCGATTTTATCCTGGTTTTTGGCTAACTTCATCACGAAGGAGCATCCTATCGAATTTCTCTCACTTGTTAACGAACATCGTGTCTAATATCCTTTTTATTCGTGGCAACAATTGACCGCCTGTTACCAACAAACTCTATTAATTAGATTTGCTGTTTCGCTCGATCCCTATCATTTCGCGTCTCTTTCATCGGTAGTCATAAGGATTAGTGAGCCAAACTCGGCCAATTGCTGCAAGGGAAATCAGGTCATTGCTCCGCTAAATGTTCGACTCTGATTTAAAACCACGATTCGTATCATTTTTCCAAATATAATAGAAAACGAACGTTGAGACATGCAGTCATGCGACCGTTAGTTTTGTCGTCCGTAACCGAGAAGAGTGTCTCACATTAACCCTTCAACGCTCAAATTTTTCTCACCTCGATGTGCCAAAAATGATCAGTTTTATTTTTTTTTCATTATTTCCTAGGCGTATAGAAATAAGTTTCCCATTTATTTAAAATGCTGTGACTTCAATTTTTGCAATACAATAGAAAGGATAGCGCGATATGAAGAGTGAAAGAAAATAATTAAACAAAATTGCACCTTTTGGAGAATTACTGGTTAAGAGATTAATAGACAATAGAATTCGTCAAAAACAGACGTTAACTCGACTGTCGTGTGGCCAGATCCATAAGCATACGCGAAATGCAATAACGTCCGTGCAATGATGTTGACATTTTATCCACACTCTCGCGTATCCTCAACTTAAAGCGATATACACGTGCCGGGTCTATCGCTAGCAATCATTCCGCAAATCATCCCTCCTCTAATATATTATCACTGAAATGCAACCGTGATCATCTTTGTTCTTAGTTGGTTTCTTCAAAAGATGGTTGTCGACTCCCTTCAAGTAGTTCCGGCGTAAATCGTCTTATCGTCTTCTATTCAGCACGTGCGACCTAATTTTCTCAAGCTTGACACGCGTAGCTCGATTTTCCATTACGAACAACGCGACTACTGTTTAATTACTGTGTTCATTACTTTTTATATTTTCATAGTAATCACCAACCACAGATTTCAGTAACAGTAAAGTACACTATGTTTCGATACGGCGTTTCATTTTTTCCAAGTATTGTACCAACCGCTCGTTTTCATCTTTTCTTACGATTATTTTCGGGATTTTCGGATGTAAATTAAGGATTTCCAAGGAAATGTTTAGATATATCACCAGCACTGGAACTGGCTTCATTTAAGGAGAGACGATCAGCTGCGATCAATTGAAATCTGCGGTTCCTGATTAACGACCTACAATACAAGTACTGCTGGGAACAGAAATAGACGTCAATCATTATCGGTGTATTCCCCGATTACTAATGAAGCCAACTGCAATGCTTGCTAAATGTCCGAA